GCCCTCCTGCGGTGAAATCTCGCCTCCTCCAATGGATTTGGTTGATGCGCCGCCGAACGCAATCGCCTCCCCTTCCCCTCATCCGCTCCGCCAACGGCGCCTTCAGCACCAGCAGTTCGTTGGCCCTCTTTGTTTGCGGCCGGGCCGAGGCGGACGACGCGAAGCGTTTAAATTAAACTTTTAGCCTACCTGTTATAGTTCACACAGAAACCCAAAAAAGTTAAAGTCCTAAGAGCCAACCAGAAGAACGCCAAGTTAAAGTTAAAAGGAACCCTATTAAAAGGCCAACCCGACCCCTAGGCTCTAAGCCCTCGACACTGAACCCTAGCACCCCAAAACCCTCCCTAAACCATAGTAGTAGCCATACAGTTGGAACATTATCATCATCATGCCCTTCAGGTTAAGTTTATCGGATTCCAGCACTGATCATCCTAAACCCAGGTTACAACTTTCTGGGGTTCGCTGTAAGTACAACCCGATTCAAAGTCCATGAAAGCCCTGAAAGCCACCCAAAGCATCTAAGAAAATGTCTTCAGGAACCAACCCTCAAAATTACCAAAATGCTATCCAAAACCCCTAAACCCTAAGAGTTCTGAATTTTAGCCCTAAACTCTAAACCCTAAACCTGCGCCCCTTGCAGCGCCTGAGCTGGCGATCTTGGCCTCAAGATGCTCCGCTGTACCCGCCTGGGGAGGCTGCACTCTCGAGCGTCCCCTCAGGATTCCCTAAGGGCTTAGGGTTTAGGGTTTAGGGTTTAGGGTTTAGGGTTTAGGGTTTAGGGTTTAGGGTTTAGGGTTTAGGGTTTAGGGTTTAGGGCGCCTTTAGGGGATCCTTCGGGGTTTAGGGTGCTCTGCAGTACCCGCCTGGGGAGGACTTGAGGAAACTACAGGTGGGGAGTTTGGGGTCTAGGGCTTAGGGGTTTAGGGGTTTAGGGGTTTATGGGTTTAGGGGGTTTAGGGTTTTAGGTTGACGCAACTACGGGTGGGGGATTTGGGGTATATAGGGCTTCTATAAGGCTTCCAAAGGGTATGTAGACCTTCCATAAGGCTCCATTCCCTCAAGGGACACCCTAAACCCTCGACCCTAGACCCAAAACCTTTAGGTTAAGGTTTCCTTGATTTATCAGGGCTTAAAGCACTCGATGTTTAAGTGTAGGGTTCATAAAGAGTTTGGAGTTTTGGGTTCATAACGGGTTTAGGGTTTAGGGTGTAGGGTTTATAAAAGGCTTTGGGTTTAGGGAGGTCTGAATACTTGGTAAATAGATATACATATACAAATGCATATGCATACACATATATATATATGCAGATATATCTATCTATATAGATACACTGTTGGCCCTACCGCTGCTAGAAAGGAACCCTAAAGCCCCAAAAACCCCAATCCCGAAAGCCTAAACCTCCAAACACTAAACCCAAACCCCTGAACCCCCAAAACCCTAACCCCAAAACCCTAACCCCTTAAACTCAAACCCCCTAAACCCTAAACCCTAAAAGCCCTAAAGCCCCAAAACCCTAAACCCCTAAACCCTAAACCCTAAAAGCCCTAAAGCCCCAAAACCCCCTAAACCCTAAACCCTAAAAGCCCTAAAGCCCCAAAACCCCCTAAACCCTAAACCCTAAAAGCCCTACAGCCCCAAAACCCCTAAACCCCTAAACCCAAAAACCCTACGA